AGTTGCTTGAAATTTTTAACTTTTCCGAAGAATGTATACCTTAATTTATTCAAACAAATAAGTTAGAATTTTGATTTTAATGATAATAGGAACCACCCTAGAATTCATTGTCATAAAAATGAGGGCATAACTATAAAGAACAACTTTGTCGAAGAGACTTTTAGTCTAAAGTTTCAATTTCAGGCTCAACACATATCATTCCACCTAAATCTGCATTCTGGACCACTGTGCATTGAGTCGTTTTGATATGAATATAAACTGCCATCTGCCTCATCATTCACTGCCTCGTGAGAGTCTGAATAATTGAGAGGTAAACGAGTTACTGACAGTCGAGCACTCAGTCAACTCGTTTATTCTGCCGTGATGGTACCCAATATTTGTTTTGAATTGTTTGAATATTGTTTGAATTCTTCGACTAAGTTATTTCAAGCAACTTTGTAAAAAAAACTTTTTTATATTAAGAGATGACCGATTTAGAGCTATTATCTTGAATTGATTTAGGGTGTCTCTAAAAAATCAGTTGTTTTACTCTAGTTTTCTTATTTCAAATTTCAAAGCAAAGGTGTCTTCAAATAACTTTTAGATCTTTAGAAGACGCAAATTTTTACTTCACAAAGCTAGTCAATATCTTTCGCCGATCAAGAGTCATTGACGTTTTTCTACTAAAAATATGCCTTTTTCAAATGTTTATATCTCTGGTTGGGGCAAACAAAAAAAAAGGCTGTGAACCATTTGCCGAGTCAAATTTAACTCGTGGTTAAAACTGACATTTCGAAAGTTATTTTCTATGTTCGAAAATCCCCGTGCTGTCGATCGACCGGTTTTCGACCCACAGTTGTCAAAATTTAACTTCTTGTCTGTCTGAAATAACCATGCTCGGATAGCAGGGTTAATCGATAACTCGACAGTGAGCATGCATAAGGGCCTATACGCGATGATCGATTCTCTTCGTCGATTTTCTCTTTTGTTAATAACTCGCTAGATTTAACGTTTCTCGGTGCGTTTGCTGTTGCTTTTGATAGCCAATACAACCTGTTACTACTCTGCATTGAACAAATTCTAGAAAATTGTTTCGCTTAGCTGTAGCAATGCAAAGAGAAAATCGATGAAGAGAATCGATCTTCGCGTATTCGCCCTTATGAATGCTCACTGTCGAACTTTCCATCTGTCAAATTTTAACCAAAACTTAAAAAATTCGCCAAATGGTTAAGAGTCTACACGGCGAATGAGAACGACTCAAATTTGAGTTTAGTTCACTCATAATCGCCAAAAGTGCAGGAACTCAGCGATGAGTAAACTTTGTCTCATGGTTTCCTTTAGTAAAACCTAAAAAATCTGCCGGAAAATGAGGAAATTGACGAAAATTTTATTCAGTCTCGGAGTAGTACCAATAGACTGAGTGAATCCAATCTTTACTTTTCTCAAATTCGGGAATTTTTCCCTGGAAAATCCTGTAAAAAACCTGGAAAAACATGAGGCAAATTAACTCATCGCTGAGTTCCTGCACTTTTGGCGATTATGAGTGAACTAAACTCAAATTTGAGTCGTTCTCATTCGCCATGTAAGAAACAGAAGAAGCCAAAGTGGAGTGAAAAACAAGCTGCATCCGTCAAACCGAGAGCTCGGAAGTTATACGACCAATTGCTGTGTGGAAAATCGGTGTGCGTGGTTATGGACGATGAATCATACGTTAAATTTGATTACACAACTTTTCATGGTGATCAGTACTACACCATTCGTGATGGCATAAGTGTTGACGACACGGATAAGTCGATTTTTACCGAAAAGTTCAGTAAAAAAGGCTATATTTTGGCAAGCCATTTGTGAGTGTGTTATGCTTTCCAAACCGTTTGTGACAACGGATCCAATGACAACCGATGTTTACGTACGTGAGTGTTTAATCAGGCGTCTGTTACCCATGATCAGTCTTCACGAAACATAGACGGCGTTGAGCTTGAGTTTCAATTTCTTCAGTGCACGTTCATTGAACGCGCGTGTTACCTTTCGAACTCAGGTGTACTCTGCACATCGAACGTGATACTTCGTACCTGCACGCAAGTGTGAACATTGAGGCTTGCAATGTTGCAACAGAAAAGGCAGACGAAATCGTTGAACGCTTCTTATACGCTTTTAGTCTACACATCTTTCAGAGTAATAACAGACGAGAGGTGAACATGCCAGTCTGATACCCTCAAAGTTCATGGTTCGAGCATGAATAATTCCGTTCTATAATTTATTTCCAACGCCAACGCCTGTTTGTTGCATTTGAATACGAACGATGTTTTTTAAACGCTGAAGCAAGCGATGTTCGAACGTAAACATTGCACTCATGCGCGGGTGCAAGTTCATTTGCCTGAGTGCATGCGTGAACATAGAGTGAATGCTCAGGTAAGTGCAAAAGCCTGCTTGCACATCAGTGCTATGCTGCACCTTGAAGACTGCCCATGATCCACAAACACGACGCCTCAGTACTGTTTTGGCGTCGGTTCATTACTCCAAGGACACGGTAGCCTGGTATAAAGCCAACAAGGTCCAATGCGTACCCAAACTGTCCCCAGGCCAGGCCAAACGAAACTTTTTGGGCCATGACCAAAGTATATTTGCAGAAACATGTAAAGGCAGCGGATTCCGTTACACAGCTTGCGAAAAACAGGGGAAAAGTATCCTAAATTGTTGGAAAGCCAAATTATGTGCAGAAGCTAATGAGTAGCGTGAGATCAAAAATCCACTCCTTGGCGTACGACTGATCGGTTCTAAGATTTTCTACGTTAAACCACAGACAAACAGACATAACTCTTAGAAGAAAATTCTTCAAAAATATCGTCAAGCGTATTTTGTACGCACACTAGCACCCTCTATCTTGCTACCTTGCACATTCCGAAGCATTGATTTGCAACCTCGTCCATCCATTTTTTCACTAGTTGCTTTTCCCTCTTTCTGTCAACGGGTCAGCTGTGTTGAATAAAAACCTGGGGTGGGACGTGCTGTCAAATCAGCCTACTGATCATTCTTTATGAAATTGGTTCCAAACGTAAACAAACCTTGTAGGTTTCTTATGGCTTGTTTACGTTTGGAACCAGTTATGCGAGGTAGGCGACGATTGTTCGTATTTGGCAGCCACCACCCCCCCTTGATAAAAACAAAACAAATGCAAGCCAGTGATGCCGGTTCTACGAAGGGTTCAGTATTAATTGAATTTAGCAGAAATGATCGGTAGGACAGATCCTCAGTCTATTTTTAGGGATTTGTTTTGTTTGTTTTGCGTGATTTTAATTTTGCTGGAAACAAGCTTTTAGTCGTGATAATGTATCACCTTTCTACCACCGCCCATCACTTTAATATGTACACAGCAAACAAATATAATATGTATCAATCAATGTCATTCAAGATGATGTATTGAACTCATTTATTGTAAAAGTGGATTCAACATTAAACTCATTAAATGATTTGTTGTCAAATTCTGTGTACATCGTACAGCGTAATATTACACTATAAGCGGAACGACCATTGTGCAGCTTTTCGAATCTAATATTCAATGCATTCCTGACGTTTCTGAAAATTATGATAGCATCAGGGGGTTGCTAGTGTATTATAATGCTTTGTTGATTATTCATGTACTCTTGATCGCTGGGAATGCTTGTGAATATTTGAGGTGGACGAAAGAGTGACAGAGTGCGCCGAAGCTTTTTCACATTTATATCGCTGTGAAGCAACTGGAAAGTGTTGAGGGAATTTATATCTGTATTTTACCGAGCAAGATTAAGTGTGTAGCTGTAACCAGTTCGTTTTGTTTGCTAATCTGGTTAAATTTTATACTTTATATAAATTTTCCAGCTTAAATCATCATCACCTTCAATAATTTGTTTTTATCTGTATTCGTCAGATTAGTAGGATACTTTCCCAAGAAACAATGAAAGGTGATTTGTTGCGTTGCCTCCTTATTTCAAGAGCTGACATCTACTAAATTGACCTGAAAACGAACTGGCACCACTGATAAGTTCAAAATGTGCTGACATGCTTAACGCTTCAGTAGCGCCACCATGACAAATGCGAGCACATCCCGAACTGAAACCTTGTTTGCGAAGAATTTGATTGTGAGTGTTATGTCTGTTTGTCTGTGGTTAAACTGTATGAATACGAAATAAAGAAACGAATTTGCTGCAAACAGATATATATACGTTATCGTGTTAGACATTGAAAATATTTGTATGTACGTTAGACATTGAAAATATTGGATACACCATTTTGAAAAATTATACGCAAGTCAACAGGTATAATTTGATATGTGGGGCATGATGAACATTTATGCAATGTTTCATGGGATTTGGAGCGGTACATGTGAAATAAGTTTTTTTTTTATTTAGCCTGGAAAGCTCTCAATCGATAACTGTGGTAGTTTTTAAAAGAGCAGTACATTGGAATAAAGGAGGCCTCCCTTAGCTCAGTCGGTAAAGGTGCAGCTACAAAGTAAGACCATGCTGGAGGTGGCTGGGTTCGATTCCCGGTCCGGTCTAGGAATTTTTCGGGTTGAAAAATTTCTCGACTTCCCTGGGCATATAAGTATGATTGGACTTGCCACACAATTATACTAATGCAAAAATGGTACAGGCATCGGAAGCGCTCAATTAATAACTGTGGAAGTGCATCTAGAACACTAAGTTGAGAGCACGCAATAAGCTAATATGCGATATGCAATAAGCTTGAAATGCAAAGAAGGAGAAGAAGAAGAAGAAGAAGAAGAAGAAGAAGAAGAAGAAGAAGAAGAAGAAGAAGAAGAAGAAGAAGAAGAAGAAGAACATCGGAATAAGTCTCAGCAATAAATGCTCTGGTACGTAATATAATGTAATGTTGATACATCTGTAGAGACGAGCTATGAAAAATATTGATTTTAATGGAATAGAGTTTCCTTACTGATTAGAACGTAAATCAGACTAATCCTATCAATGGAACAAGTGGATCAACTCTCACCAAACAAAACAATAAATCTTTGTTATACTTACTTGATGGCTATGTATCTCCAAACGGCCAGCATCACAGTGAGCAAAATTGAGATGGTGTGTAATATCTGAGTGAAGTGCATATGGAACATCAGGTACACAGCCCACGAATAAGGGTAGTCTTGTCGATCTAGAAGTATGATAGGAGGAAAGAGAGGAAGGCAGACAAGGTGATTTGATTGTAATACATAATATGTTCTATACTAATCAAAATAGCCTGGATCAGAATGAATCCTTTAAAATTTGAAATAATAATTGACAGCGGAATCCTCTACATAAGCTCAGAAATAACATAGTTGCGGTTGCCATTAACAGACAAATTAAACCCCTGTGGCTTGAACAAATTTCAACTGAAGCAATATAAAATGGAAAAAAACTAGGATATTAGGGATAAAGCTGGAAGAGCTAGTGGTAATAAATTATGAAGCAATCTCTGAAAGCATTCCAATTGGTATCAGTAAGCGAATTGCAATCTAATGTAAATCGACCTGTCATAGCTAGGGATTATGTAGGATACACTATTGGCATGAATGAATAGTTTTGATACCAATCCCTCTCACTGAAGCAGATTATACCAAACAGTTCCACAATTCAAAACTCATTGCCTAGTTAAAAATATTCAAAATATTGCATTGCAAAAACGTTATGCGATAAATCTCATGTTTATTTTAGTCGGAAAAACACGATTTTTTAAATCTCCCCGTTGTTGAACATTTAAATCAATCATTTGAATCAACACAAAAAAATCAAACAAATAATTATTGGAAGCACTCATTCATGCACACATCCCCTGCACGTGCGTGAAAAATGCTGCACGTACAGGCTACCCATGCACTGCCTAATGGTCTGACACGTTTCAAGTGTTTCAAACAACAAATTGCATCGGCTTACCTGGCAGTATCGAGTACATGTAAAAGGCGAACGGGATGTACTCCATCATTACAAACATATCGGTGACCGAGAGCCACTTCAGGATGCGGTTGATGGGGATTTTGCTCATCTCTTTGCGTGTCAGGACGATGACATTCAAAATATTCGCTATTGTTCCGAAAACGCATATCTAAAATGGAACGGAAAACAAAGCATAAAAGGGAAAACAATTACTGCTGCGGAAGACACACGTAACAATCTACATGGATCTGTTGGTGAGTGGGTGGTTAGGCGCGGCTCTCCGGATGAATTCTCGACTGCTTTTTCGAAGGGGTGTATCAGCTTTTGTAAACAATGCATTTGATCGTCGGTTTGGCGTAACTGGTAACTCGCCCACGTATACTCACACCATTAACAGGTAAGAGAAAATTTCCCCTATCTAATGCGTGGGTGAGCTATCAGTTACGCCAAATCGATGGTCAAATGCATTGTTTACAAAAGCTGATACGCCCCTTCGAAAAAGTAATCGAGTAATGTTGCGAATGGGATTCAATTCGTGCCTACTGAAAGTTTTCCCGAATCTAATGGAATGGTTTGAACAGCGTGTGTTTGTGTATGTCAGGGTCGACTGATTGGTTGGTATAATATGTATGCCCCTTTGCTCTTGCTAACCCGTGCTGTTTGGTGTTTGGTATATGTGGGAACAAATTGCTTCTGTCACATGTGTAATGTCAGAGTACATGTTTTAAGGTCATGTCGTGTATGCTTTGAAATATGGATTTCAAATATTTGAGCACGATGAAGTTGATAAAATTATCTAAACTGTTCAAACAATGCTCGATATAGGTAAATTTACGACTAAATGTAAAGCCAATGAGTTGTGGATCCAAGTTTTTTTAATCAATTCAATATAATTTTGAAAGTAGCTGTGTTTTAGAGCTACAGAATGAATACATGATGATGCGATACTTACCACCAGGGCAATGTAACCGTGTAGGATTTTATAATCCATCAGCAAATCCCGCATCATCCCCTTGCAGTAGTCGCTGCAATTTCCAAGCTCAGCATCTTCAGCGTCCCAGCCAACATCGGTGCTCGTGGCCGTTGTACGATTAATCCGACTCAGCGATTGAAACAGCTTTTCCAAGAAGTCATTAACATATTCTTGCGTTATGTTATGATCAGAGATGTTTTGGAACTCGAAAGCATGTCGGTAAAGTTTGCTGGAACCGTTCATATTGATAGTAAGATTGGAGTCGAGGATCGCAAATAGACGGCGACGGAATTCGGTCGCGTTCAGGAATGGGGAGGTGGAGGAATCGTTGTGGTAAATAAAGTGAAACCATTCCAGCACTCGTTCGTCAACGCTTTGCATTTTACTCCTGCTTCCTTGATGCACCGAGGAATCCCATCAACATTTTAGACTGCATTGTGTCCACCGCTTATGAGCATTTCCCTGTGATATGAAAAAGAAAAAAGTTGATTTATTAGAGAGCAACTTTTTGAGTTTTCCAAAAACAAAGCATATGTTGCTCTCACTTTCTAACGGGGATGGATTAATGGCGTTGCAATCCATTGGTAGCCGTAGGATTGATTCTGTTTGTTTCGTTCAAGTGGGACGCATGAAAAGCTAAATTGGATCTGTCTGCCATATAAATAAAAGAGCGAATTGCAAAACAATACGAAATGGCGCCAGGAACACTTAACCCAAAATAGAAAATCAAACAAATCGATTTGGCTTCACTTGTACTACTTTTTCAGGCTCATGGAACAATCTTTTGTGTGTCTTTCAAGCCCTTCCTACAAATAATTCGAAATGTGAACATTCAAATATTATGTTATGTTTAGACCATAAGTAGTTGTAACGTATCGGTTTGAATGATAAGATATAATAACAATGTTATCACAATATGTCGTGATATAAGAAAACCACTTTTAACATGTTACAACGCCCTAGACTGAATATTAGACTGCCAATGAATGTATGGGAAAAATTTGACCATCAAATTTCGCTAACAAACCATATACAAAATGTTTATTGCATCGAAAAATAACCCTATGCAAAATTTGAGCTCAATCGGACATGATTTAGGGGTGGCACAAACGCGTCAAAGTTTGACTTTTTTCACTCTCGAAAATCTCCCTATAAGCCTATAAGCTGTCTCAGATACTAAAAAGTAATATCATCAAATGTTTTGAAGTTTGGATTCTTAAAAATTCCAAAACACAACATGATGATATTTTCAGATACATGCGTTTGGTAAAAAGTAATGGTTTGTACATACCTTTTTTGATTTTTGGACCACCCTAATGAAGAATAATTGGACCACCCTAGTGAATTATTTCGTATTAGATCCTAAATGATGGTTTAATTCGATATATAAGCAGGTTGGAGACAATTGTGAACAGTTTTAGAAGCCGACTCATCAATCTTCGATATTTCATATAGAACTCATGATAAAAATTCTAAGGCCCAGAAAGTCGATTTTTGAAAAAAAAATTTTTCGACATAACACCAAATCTCGACGTTTCATGCATTTTTAAGACATTTGGCATCAAAAAAAAATTTGGTTTCCGAAATTTCATGTACCCTCCCATTAGCATTAATGCCGAACTACCCTGTATTATCGATAGGTAAGGAGTGTATATACAGTAGTATATATATAGTATATACAGATAACAGATTTTTTTAAATGTAAAGGTTTTTCAGATTTTTCAAACAAGTGGAATACACTGAAGTCTTTTTAATACGATTTTCTTACGCGGTTTTTTTTACACGGTTTTTCGCGATTGACACGGTACGTTTTTAACGATTTCTCGACAACGAAACAACCTATCGATTTGATTCCAATCACATTATTTTTGTCAGCCAGAAACAGATTAAAAAGATATTATGAGAGAGAGAAGGATTCAAGGGGTAAGTCACTCAGCACATTGTGCCGAAATTATATTCTACACAGCTTGGGCACATCCATCGGCACATTTTTGGCTTACTTTCGGCACAATCTCGTAGGCATTAGATTGTTGTTAATAAAATGGGAGCACTGCTGAACAACAGTCATTCAAGTTGTTCAGAACATTACGTGCTGTTTGACTGTATGTTCAGGAACATCTTTTAATTGAATATATCAGAGGAACTCAGACCAGCAGTTCTCTTATAGATCTAAATGCGAAAAGTAGGTTCTAAAGGGTGATACGGTCAAAATTTGGTCAAGGGAAAACGCGTGTAAATCGGTGAAATCGTTTATTTAAAAAATCAAATTAAATTTCTTTTTCAAGTTCAATTAGTATAAAATTCAGGAAAAATATTCAGTTAGGCTTCCGCTTTTCCAAATCCGAATTGCCGGGCCTTACGCTTGACCCCTGCCATCAGATTTTGTACAGCCACCTTGTCCACCTTCTTCGCCGCAGAAAGCCAGTTTGCCTTGAACTGCTGCTCGCCCTTAGCAGTTTTTTTGGTCTTCTTTAGGTTCCGCTTGACAATAGCCCAGTATTTCTCAATTGGGCGGAGCTCTGGCGTGTTGGGAGGGTTCTTGTCCTTGGGAACCACCTGCACGTTGTTGGCGGCGTACCACTCCATGGCCTTTTTACCGTAATGGCAAGATGCCAAATCCGGCCAAAACAGTACGGAACAACCGTGTTTCTTCAGGAAAGGCAGCAGACGTTTATTCAAACACTCTTTCACGTAAATTTCTTGGTTGACAGTCCCGGAAGCTATGAAAATGCTGCTTTTCAAGCCACAGGTACAGATGGCTTGCCAAACCAGATATTTCTTTGCGAACTTTGACAGTTTCATGTGCTTGAAAACATCTGCTACCTTTCCCCTTCCTTTTGCCGTATAAAACTCCTGTCCCGGAAGCTGCTTGTAGTCGGCTTTGACGTAGGTTTCGTCGTTCATTACCACGCAGTCAAACTTCGTCAGCATCGTCGTGTACAGCCTCCGGGATCGCGCTTTGGCCGTCGTATTTTGTTTATCATCGCGATTTGGAGTCACTACCTTCTTGTAAGTCGATAGTCCGGCTCGTTTTTTGGCTCGATGCACGGTTGTAGACGATACACCCAGCTTATTTGCGGCATCTCGGAGAGAGAGGTTAGGGTTTCGCTTGAAACTACCGGCAACTCTCTTTGTCGTCTCAGCGGCTTCCGGTTTTCGATTTCCCCCCGATCCAGACTTCCTGGCTGTCGACAAACGTTCCCCAAACACTTTAATTACATTTGTAACGGTTGATTTGGCAACTTTTAGCGATTTTGCCAACTTTGCGTGCGAGTGGCTCGGATTTTCGCGATGCGCGAGCAAAATTTTGATACGCTGCTCTTCTTGCTTGGACGGCATTTTGACAACTGAAGAGTGAATTCCAAAATCAAAATAGGAGCAACATTCTACACACACACACCTTCAAAATGAGGGGTGTTCAGGTTTTTTAAATGCAAAATTGAAAGAAATACGTCAAGTTGATATTGACCAAATTTTGACCGTATAACCCTTTAGTGTGGGCTCAAGAGAAAGTGGCAGTTAATCAGACCTCATTAGTACCCTTAATTCTAACTAAACAAACTAAAGATGTTTATTCATAACCCTCTATAGTCGGTCTCCAACAATGATCCCCACCGGTTCCAACTCTTTCCGGCCGAAAGGCTAGGTTTCTGGTCTGCCTTTGAGGGCATTATAAAACCGAGTATAAAACACTAAAACACAAGACTTTTATTACCCTGTGGATCACAAATCACCGAAATCTCGCACAGCGGCCACTTCCCGCGTCATCCTCAATCCAATTTATCCTTGCGATTTCAAACCAAAACATTCAAGATGTCAAAAATACCGGGTTGCCGGGATGGGTATTTTACTAACAATCGCAGCTTGCTCTATATGACCGGCACAATCGGCATACTTGCGGCACACTGACAAAAAAGATGACCCAAGATTGGTGTGCGGAGTGACCTACCCCTAGGAAGGATTAGTAATTTCCATTTAATTCCACTACCTTATTTGCTTATACTTGACAGGTATCGTCATCGTGCCAGGTCATCATGCCAGACATTGTCAAACGCTTTTTCAACGTCTAACAATGCCATAGCAGATATTTTTGAAACAGCCTTGTTCCGTCTAAGAATGTTTGCTACTCTGGTCAGTTGGTGGACGGTTGATCGACCTTTTCGAAAACCAAACTGCTCCTCGAGTAAGATGTTGTTATCTTCGGCAGATGTTAGAAGCCGGCTGTAAACTGCCCTTTCGAACAGCTTGGATAACCCTGAGAGAACGCTGAGCGGTCGGCCTTCATGCTTTTGGAAGTTTTGATATAAGCCAACAGTTCGTCAGCCGTGATCTCGGATTCTTCGGGAAAGATATTAGGAACCTGGTTACATTTTCAGCATCCTCAGCTTCGTGAGGGCTGGTGATGTTTTGTCGGTGATTGTGGGAGTTGACGAAATGTTGACCTATCGCGGCAGCCTTCTCTTCAGGTGTTATCAGGTGAACCACTGAACCGTCGGGACAATTCAGTGGAACCAGCGGTGGAATAGCCTCGGTTAAGTTTTGAGGACTGTTTTTAATTTCCAAAAGGGTTTTGCACAATCTGGGAGGGAACGGATGTTATTGGCAAAATTCTCATTTCTGAGTTCCACCATTTTGGCTTTGATAAATTTGGTTACAACCGTCTAAACGAATGGGTCTTCAAGGTTGTGCCTACGCATGGCGTTACAGAGTCTGATTAGGCTTTTAGTATTCTAATCAAGGTTCAGAGAATTACTCACCCGTCTGGAAGCTGGCACGTGTTGTTCGCGGGCTCGGGATAACGCCTCCTCGACGGCGCACAGAGATCTATCGATGTCATCAGTCGTCTCCAGTAGGGCGCCGAAATCGATGGCTTCGTCGACGACTTGTTGGAACTGATCCCAGCTTACCCGATGGTAATTCCGACGGGAAGCATGAAACCGATTAACGGAGGAGCCCACCTCGGCCACCACCGGTTGATTACTCAAATTAATTTCATCAGAAGGGGGATCAAGAGATTGCCCTTTTCTTTTAAGCTTAGGCGCCATGACGGCAGTAAAACTTTTATCCAAATTGACTTCCAAACAGATTGCTATAAGAATCTGAAGGATCAAAGAGGAATTTTCCAAATCGATATCCAAGCTGGTTTACCTCGGGTAGGGTCCAAACAAGGATCGAAGAGGAATGAGAGTCAAACAAGGTAGAAAATTTACAGGTATATTGAGCACTGAAAAGTGCTATTTAAATTTGTTGCAGCTTTAGGTAGCAGTAACACTTCCTTCAGCAAAAAGCAAATAGATCCACACGGCACTATTGTAAGCACCCTAATTTATTGCATTATTGGCTATTACAAATTTCGAACTTGATTAGACTCCTGTGCTTAAAATAAGTTCAATGTAATATTTTTGTACTGGTAATTAAATGTAAATATTGATCTTCTTTAAATTTTCTATAGCTCGAATACA